ATATTCGCCGGCTCCTCGACCAAGGGGTCCTTCGCCCATGTCACTCGCCCTGGAATACTCCATTGTTGCCGGTACGAAAACCTAGTAGCAGAGAATACAGACCTGTACAAGACTTGAGAGAAGTCAATAAGAGGGTTATGGACATACATCCAACTGTGCCTAAACCGTACACCCTCCTGAGTACCCTAAACCCTAAACATCAATGGTACACTGTTTTAGATTTGAAAGATGCTTTCTTCAGTTTGCCTTTAGCCCCTCAGAGCCAAAAGCTCTTCGCCTTCGAGTGGACTGACCCTGGGAGGGGCATAAGTGGCCAACTGACATGGACCAGACTGCCGCAGGGATTCAAAAACTCTCCTACCCTGTTCGATGAGGCCCTCCATGAAGACCTGGGTGAGTACCGATGCAAACACCCTGAAATAACCTTACTACAGCATGTTGATGACCTCCTGATTGCTGCTGAGACCCAAGAAGCTTGTATTCAAGGGACCAAGGGTCTCTTACAAGCTCTAGGGAACCTAGGCTACCAAGCCTCGGCAAAGAAAGCTCAAATCTGTAAATCAGAAGTAACATATCTGGGGTACCTGCTAAAAGGAGGGCAGCGCTGGTTAACAGACGCCCGGAAGCAGACTGTTCTGCAGATCCCCAGGCCACAATCCACCCGACAAGTAAGGGAATTCCTGGGGTCGGCGGGATTTTGTAGACTATGGATACCTGGGTTCGCAGAGCTGGCTAAACCCTTGTATCAGGCAACACGGGGGCAGCAGCCATTTAATTGGACAGAAGAAGCCGAGTCGGCTTCCTAGCAGATCAAAACCACTCTACTCTCTGCGTCTGCACTGGGACTACCTGATGTCACCAAGCCCTTCCACTTATACGTGGATGAGAGCAAGGGTGTCGCCAAGGTGGTAATAACTCAGAACTTAGGCACCTGGCGGAGGCCGGTTGCCTACCTGTCAAAGAAATTAGACCCAGTGGCTGCCGGGTGGCCCCCTTGTCTCCGAATGATTGCGGCCACGGCCCTGATGGTACAAGATGCTGATAAACTTGTCATGGGTCAAGAATTACGGGTCGTTACCCCACATGCCATCGAGGGTGTACTCAAACAGCCACCTAATCGATGGATAAGTAACGCCCGGCTCACCCACTACCAAGGACTACTACTAAATCCCCTCAGGATAACTTTCCTGCCCCCAACAACCTTAAACCCTGCCTCACTGCTGCCCAACCCGGACCTGGACATCCCGCTCCATGATTGCACTGAGATACTAGCTCAGGTGTACAGAGTTCGAGAGGACCTGCAGGACCGCCCACTTCCTGACGCTGACCTAGTCTGGTTCACTGATGGGAGCAGCTTCGTACACCAAGGCCAGAGGTACGCTGGAGCGGCAGTGACTTCAGAGACTGAGGTAATCTGGGCGGAACCCCTGCCCCCAGGAACATAGGCCCAGAAGGCCGAACTGATAGCGCTCACCCAAGCTCTTACCTTAGGGGCAGGGAAGAAACTGACAGTATACACAGATAGCCGATATGCTTTTGCTACGGCGCACATACATGGGGCCATTTACAGGGAGCAAGGGTTACTAATGGCTGAAGGAAAAGAGATAAAAAACAAGCAAGATATCCTAGCCCTGTTAACAGCCCTATGGAGACCAGAAAAATTGGCTATTGTACATTGCCCAGGGCATCAGAAACCAACCACTCCAATTGCTCAAGGCAACTTGCTGGCAGACCAAACTGCAAGGAGTGTGGCAAAGGCTCCCAGCCAACTCCTTGCACTCCAGCTCCCTGATCCGGGCCCCCGGGACTTGCCATATCTCCCTGATTATTCAGAACAAGATCTCTAGTGGATCGACAATCTTCCCCTGAAACAGATCCAGAATGAGTGGTGGACTGATACTAATGACCAAACCATCCTACCAGAAAAATTAGGACAACAAGTGTTAGAACACATCCACCGAACCACCCACCTGGGTGCCCGGTGGATGATAGACCTGATCAGACGCTCCAAGCTCAAAATCAGACATATAGCCGAGACGGCCAGCAGCATCGTGACAAGTTGCAAAGTCTGTCAGCTTAACAACGCCTACCCCCAATCCCAGGCTGCAACGGGAACAAGGCTCAGGGGAACCAGGCCCGGTATCTACTGGGAAGTAGATTTTACTGAAATAAAGCCAGGAAAATATGGGTATCGGTACTTACTTGTCTTTGTAGATGCTTTTTCAGGGTGGACTGAAGCATTCCCAACCAAAAGGGAAACTGCTCAGGTTGTAGCAAAGAAAATTCTGGAAGATATCCTCCCCAGGTATGGCTTCCCCGTCCAGATAGGGTCAAATAATGGGCCGGCCGTCATCGCTAAGGTAAGTCAGGATTTGGCTTCCATCCTTGGGGCAAATTGGAAACTACATTGCGCTTACAGGCCCCAGAGTTCAGGACAGGTAGAGAGGATGAATCGGACCTTAAAGAAGACCTTAACTAAATTGACCATGGAGACTGGCGCTAATTGGGTGGTCCTTCTCCCCTACGCTCTGTTCCGGGCCCATAATACCCCTTACAGACTGGGCCTTACCCCTTACAAAATCATGTATGGCAGACCCCCACCCCTGGTTCCCAGCCTAAAAGATGATCTGCTCAAGTCTGAAACAGAAAATGTCTCTGAACTCTTATTTTCCCTACAAGCCTTGCAGAAAATTCATCAAGAAATCTGGCCCAAGCTGAAGGAACTATATGAGACCGGTCCCCCACCGACACCCCATCCGTACCAGCTGGGAGACTGGGTCCTGGTTAAGCAACACCAACAAGAGACCCTAGAACCCAGGTGGAAGGGACCACTCCAGGTACTCCTAACCACACCCACCGCCCTGAAGGTAGAAGGCATCGCGTCGTGGATCCACTACACCCACATCAAGCCAGTGGACCCAACCTCCGACCTTCTGGGGCCAATCATGGCGGCGGCTGAAGCACCAGCCACGTGGACTGTGGACAGAGCTAAGAACAACCCCTTAAAACTCACCCTGCGCCGGCAGCATAGCTCACTGCAAACGTGCAGTTAGGTAGTCTAACCCTAACGTTAGTCGCCCTAGTGGCCGCTGGGGAAAACACAAAACCAGCTCCTAATCCCTTTATCTGGAGATTCTGGCTTTATGAAAACCAAACCCACCCCAGACAACCTCATAAGCCCAGGAAATTATTGGCCAGTGCTGATTGCCCCTCCTCAGGGTGCAATAGCCCAATTTTACTAAATTTTACTGGTTTTCAAATAGCCAAACCAATGGCACCAATAATATGCTTTGAGTTTGATCAGACTAAATACAATTGTAAACACTATTGGTGGCACCAAAATGCCGGCTGCCCTTATAACTACTGTAACATCCATAAATCCCATTATTGGGGTAAGGAAGAACAGTTAGATCCTAAGTGGCCCTTCCATCGTAGACGGGACGGGGACTTTTCATATACATGGATAGTCAAAGACCCCTGGAACTCCCGCTGGACCACGCCTCAACATGGGGCTGTATACTACTCCCCCTCCTCCACATGGCCTAGCAGTCACCTCTATCTGTGGCGAGGTCTAGTGCAGGTACGGCCCCTGGTCCATGGGAATATCCAACGACAAGAAAACAGACTAACACAAGATTTACGTCCTTTCTCCTGGTTAAAATTATTACAAGAAGGATTAGAACTTGCTAACCTTACAGGACTTCACAGCTTGTCTGGCTGCTTTCTGTGTGCCACTCTAGGGCGTCCACCGCTAACCGCTGTCCCTCTGCCATGGGGATCCTCTACCTCTGCCCAAGCTAACAAACTCCGAAGCCTCTCATATGCCCCTATCCCTAACGTGCCACTATACCTAAACCCCAGTCAGGAGAAGTTTCCCTACTGTTTCTCAGGAACTAATTCCAGCCTCTGCAACATCACTGCAACGCCCCCTAGTACCACCCTAAGGGCTCCGCCGGGCATATTCTTCTGGTGTAATGGAACATTATCTAAGAACCTATCTGGTCCCTCTGTTACCAATCTACTGTGTCTTCCTGTTACATTAGTTCCCCGGTTGACTCTACTAACTGCCGGCGAGTTCCTGGGATACACTGGTAACTGGACTAGTACTGCTATTCACCCAGTCCTTAGACCGAGACCTGTATGAGCCTTATTTCTCCCCAAGGATCTTTTACTGCAAGTTCGAACTTGGTCCCTCCATTCCACAGCATACAAGAGGGCCCCGAACAATGCGAGTGCTTGCTTTTTATAGCCCGATGTAAATAGGATACGTAAAGTTACAGAGGAACAAGGGAATTCTTTTGGTTACATCATTACAATTGGTTTACATTTTAAGTTGTACATTTAGTAGTTTTTCTATTGGTTCCTGCGCTTTCAGTAAAACCACAAACGGCTGTGTCCTTATCAGGGATTTTCCAGGTGGTGTTTGTACTGGGCTCAGGAAGTTGAGAGATATATGGTGGGATGTGTTTGTACTGGGCCTGTTTGTGTTGAGCCCGGGGCTGAGGAATGTGCCTGATTTCTTTCACTAGGACCTCACTCCAATTTGTTTATAACATCCACTGGGTGTTTCTCTGATTATAAAATCAGAGCCCGTTTATCATGGAAAATCTGGAAGGCATAGAAAAAAAAACCACAATGATATTTCTATAAATCATCCGTAATCTCACCATGGCCATTAGGCAACCTTAAATAACATTTTTCTTTTTTTTTTTCTTTTTATAGAGACACTCTCACTATGTTGCCTAGGCTGGTCTCGAACCCCTGGGCTCAAGCAGTGTCACCGCAACCTCTGCCTCCAGGGTTCAAGTGATTCTCCTGCCTCAACCTCCCGAGTAGCTGGTATTACAGGCACTTCTTTTGTGATTCTTCAGTTACTTCAGGCCATCTGGGCTTATACGTGCAAGTCACAGGGGATGCGATGGCTTGGCTTGGGCTCAGAGGCCTGACACCTGGAGTGAGCCTCTAGAATTCCACAACCATAACCCTGTCTTTTGTTGCAGCTTGGAGCTTTGACCTGCAGAAATCAGAGGACATGCTGCGGAAGGTGAGGTTGACACCTCTCCCTGCCTAGCCTGGTCCTGTTTCCTATCCCAAGTCTGAGGCACAAATTTATTCATTCATTAATCCATCCATTCATTCATTCATGGAACACACATTCATTGAGACTGGAAGGTAAACCTGGCCCAGCGCTAGGCGCTGGGGAGACTGCAGTGATGGAAAGAGAGAAAAAAGAAACCAGAGTAACAAAAAAGATAATTCCTGAGAATGGAAAGTACAATGAAGACAGCAAAACAGGGAAGGAGGGAAGAGAGATCAGGGACATTTCAGTAGGGACATGAATGCCCAAAAGGAAGCAAGCATGTGAAGATCAGGGTGGAGGGCACAGCCCATGCAAAGGCCCTGAGGTGGGAATGAGCTGGTGTATTCTTTTTTTTTTTTTTTTGAGACAGTCTTGCTCTGTTGCCCAGGCTGGAGTGCAATGGCGTGATCTCAGCTCACTGCAACCTCCATCTCCCAGGTTCAAGGGATTCTCCTGCCTCAGCCTCCTAAGTAGCTGGGATTACAGGCACGCGCCACCACACCTGGCTAATTTTTGTATTTTTAGTAGAGACAGGGTTTCATCATGTTGGCCAGGCTGGTCTCAAACTCCTGACCTCAGGTGATCCACCCACCTTGGCCTCCCAAAATGCTGGGATTACAGGCATGAGCCATTGTGCCTGGCCTGAGCTGGTATATTCTAGGAGCACACGGAGATCGTGTTGGAGACAGAAAGGGAAGTGATGAGTTTGCATGGGTGGCCCCAACCCATTAGCCAGGCCCTGCAGGCCTTGTAGGGGGTATAGGTTTTTGCTTAAGGGCAACTGGAAGTCAGGGAGGAGAGTCTGACTCCCAGGGTGGCCATGCGGGAGGGGCCATGGGAAACATCTGGAAGGATGCAGGGGGAGACAGCTGCAGAGTGCAGGCCTCCCCTGTTCCTTTCTGGGTCTCTCCTGCCCTCTCAGATGTATGTCCCCATCCTGTTTCCATTCCCCAGTTCTATGTTAGTGGAGCCTGGGGATGCTCTGGCAAGCCCTCAGTGGTTGCAGGCAGAGGGACCTGGCCTGGTGTCCCCAGGTATCTGCAGAGGTCTTTGGGACAGGCAGAAACTTCACCACCTCCTGCCATGTCTCTGCAGCATATGGAGTCCGGAAGCAACAAGACCTGGCCAGCATCCTTGCCTGGCAGCCCCCAGAGGTGAGCATCTCTCAAACCCATGCCCTGATCCCTGGGCCCTCGGCCCTCAGCACTGAGCCTCCATCTCCTGTGTATGCATCCAGGTGGTCAGGCTGTACAACGCCAACGGCATAGGCGGCCACGACGGTGAGGGCAGCCCTGTCTGGTACCACATCATGGGAAGCCTGGACCCCAAGGGCCTCTTGCTCTCGGCCTCCAAACAGGAGTTGCTCAGAGACAGCTTCCGGAGCTGTGAGCTGCTCCTGCGGGAGTGTAAGCTGCAGAGTCAGAAGGTGTGTGGGTGCCACCCTGGGCAGCTGCAGCGGGACACAGCGCCCTCACCCCCTGAGCCCCACACCCAGAATTCGCCTTCCTCCTGGTACTGAGGAGTGAATGCAGGTTCAGAGAGGCCAAGGACCCACCCAAGGCCACACAGTATGTGGCTGAACTGGGACTCATTTCTCCCCCAACTGGCCCCAAAGCCCACTCAACCCACTGGGCCACACTGCCCTCTGCAGCCTCATTGGATGAGGGGGACAGGGATTTCAGCCTCACTGGACCGAAGAGGGAACTGCAACACAGCAATTTGCCCTCCCATGGACAGACACGAAGAGGGCGGTCCTTGGGCCACTCCAGTCCTGGCATCCTGTGGGATGGCCCCTTCCCTCCCCCCATCTCCATGCCATGCAAGCCGAGACAAGCCAGGCCAGTGCCCTGGGCTTAGGCCCAGCCCCATCTTGGATAGGGGTTGGGGCAGTGACCCTCACAGGGTCTCACCCCCTGTCATTCCCTTGCCGCTGGGGAAGAAGGTGGAGAAAATCATAGCTGTTTTTGATCTTGAGGGGCTGGGCCTGAGGCATCTGTGGAAGCCAGGAATAGAGCTTCTCCAGGAGGTGAGGTGACCCTGCCAGGGGCATGGGTGGGTGGTCAAATGCCTGGGTCTTTACCCTCCACTTGTTGGTGTCTCTCTCCTCACTGCCAGGTGACTACCTGCCCACAGGCCCTGTTTGCAGCTCTTACTTTTTTTTTTTTTGAAATGGAGTTTCGCTCTTGTTGTCCAGGCTGGAGTGCAATGGTGCAATCTCGGCTCACCACAACCTCTGTCTCCTGAGTTCAAGTGATTCTCCTGCTTCAGCCTCCCAAGTAGCTGTGATTATAGGCATGCACCACCATGCCCAGATTTGTATTTTTAGTACAGATGGGGTTTCTTCATGTTGGTCAGGCTGGTCTGGAACTCCCGACCCTCAGGTGATCCACCCGCCTTGGCCTCCCAAAGTGCTGGGATTACAGGTGTAAGCCACTGCGCCTGGCCTGTTTTGTTTTTTTTGTTTTGTTTTGTTTTTCTGGTTTTTTTTTTTTTTTTTTTTTTTTTGAGACAGAGTCTTGCTCTGTCACCCAGGTTGGAGTCCAGAGGCGCGATCTCAGTTCACTGCAACCTCCACCTGCCAGCTTCAAGCGATTCTCCTGCCTCAGCCTCCCAAGTAGCTGGGATTAAGGTGCCTGCCACCACGCCCGGCTAATTTTTGTATTTTTAGTAGAGAGGAGGTTTCACCATGTTGGCCAAGTTGGTCTTGAACTTCTGACCTCAGGTCATCTGCCCGCCTTACCCTCCCAAAGTGCTGGGATTGGAGGTGTGAACCACTGCACCTGGCCTACAGTTCCTTACTTTTGTTGGCAGGGATATTTTCATACCCACAGCCTCTCGGGGCTGTGCCAAGTTGGGCGTGGCACCCCCATGTCACCATCTCATTTCAGCAGGTCACAACAGGGCCCCATTCCCCGACCTGCCAGTGTCCCTGTGGATGTCCCTGTCCTCATATTCTGGCTCTGCTCACTCTCCTCCCACCCCTGATCTCTGCCCTCACCCCCAATGCCTGTCTACCCTTCTGCTTCCAGCCTTTGGGCTTCCTTTTTGCCATTTCCTCTGGGAAGGGCTGAGGGTAGATCAACTCTGGGAGTGCTGCAGTAGGACGGAAGCTGTAGGGAGGCCTGGTCCGCAGGGCAGCCAGCCTACCTGTTCCTTTCTTTCTGTTTCACCCAGGATAGCAAAAAACTTAAACATAAAAAGTGTTATTGGCCGCCAGGCACAGTGACTTATGCCTGTAATGCCAACATTTTGGGAGGCTGAGGCAGGAGGATCACTTGAGCCCAGGAATTTAAGACCAGCCTGGTCTTGAACATAGCAAGACCCTACCTCTACAAAATAAGAGTATTAGCTGGGTGTGGTGGTGTGTGTGGGTGGTCTCAGCTACTTGGGAGGCTGAGGTGGGAGGATCATTTGAGCCTAGAAACTTGAGGTTGCAGTGAGTTGAGATCGTACCACTGCACTCCAGCCTGGGATGAACATTATATCTCAGTTTTTTTGTTTTGTTTTGTGTTTTGAGACGGAGTCTCACTCTGTTGCCCAGGCTAGAGTGCAGTGGCTCACAGCAGCCTCCGCCTAACAGGTTCAAGTGATTCTCCTGCCTCAGCCTCCCAAGTAGCTGGGATTACAGGTGCCCGTCACCACACCTGGCTAATTTTTGTGTTTTTAGTAGAGAGGGAGTTTCACCATGTTGCCCTGGCTGGTCTCAAACTCCTGACCTCATAATCCACCCACTTTGGCCTCCTAAAGTGCTGGGATTACAGGCGTGAGCCACTGTGTTAAAAAAAAAAAAAACAGATATTGGCCTGGCGTGGTGGCTCACACCTGTAATCCCAGCACTTTGGGAAGCCGAGGCAGGTGGATCACGAAGTCAGGAGATCGAGACCATCCTGGCTAACGTGGTGAAACTAAAAATACAAAAAATTAGCCAGGCATGGTGGCGGGCGCCTGCAGTCCCAGCTACTCGGGAGGCTGAGGCAGGAGAGTGGCGTGAACCTGGGAGGCGGAGCTTGCAGTGAGCTGAGATGGCACCACTGCACTCCAGCCTGGGCGACAGAGTGAGATTCCGTCTCAAAACAAAACAAAACAAAACAAAAATAAACAAACGACGGCCGGGCGCGGTGGCTCACGCCTGTAATCCCAGCACTTTGGGAGGCCGAGACGGGCGGATCACGAGGTCAGGAGATCGAGACCATCCTGGCTAACACGGTGAAACCCCGTCTCTACTAAAAAATACAAAAAACTAGCCGGGCGAGGTGGCGGGTGCCTGTAGTCCCAGCTACTCGGGAGGCTGAGGCAGGAGAATGGCGTGAACCCGGGAGGCGGAGCTTGCAGTGAGCTGAGATCCGGCCACCGCACTCCAGCCTGGGTGACAGAGCGAGACTCCGTCTCAAAAAAATAAATAAATAAATAAATAAATAAATAAATAAACAAACGAACAAAACCATTCCCTATTTGCAGTGTCTCTTATAAACAAATGTAATGGGGCCTATTGGGACTCATTTGTAGGAATCAAATATCCTTTCTTTTTTTTTTTTTTTTTTTTGAGACGGAGTCGCTCTGTCGCCCAGGCTGGAGTACAGTGACTGGATCTCAGCTCACTGCAAGCTCGGCCTCCCAGGTTTACGCCATTCTCCTGCCTCAGCCTCCCGAGTAGCTGAGACTACAGGCACCCGCCACCTCACCGGGCTAGTTTTTCGTATTTTTTAGTAGAGACGGGGTTTCACCGTGTTAGCCAGGATGGTCTCGATTTCCTGACCTCGTGATTCGCCCATCTCGGCCTCCCAAAGTGGTGGGATTACAGGCTTGAGCCACTGTACCCGGCCCAAATATCCTTTCATACAGTGTACACTTATGCTTGGCAAGAATGCTTTACTGTCTAACTAAGAGTTTTAACTGGTTTATCTTATTTAAAAATTTAAAAGTAAGTAAATAAAAATAAAAAGCCATTCCTTGCAACTTTGTATATTATGCTAAAAGAAAGTCTTTCTCATTCCTGAAGCTGAACTACTGCCTGAGCTATGTGGGAGGGAACTTTCCAGAGTCGTGAATGGGATTTTTCTTGTCTGTCATGGGTAGAGTCATCCCCCCACTCATCTGTCAAGAATCTGCACTAGGCCAGGCGTGGCAGCTTACACCTGTAATCCCAGCATTTTGGGAGCTGAGGTGGGAGGATCACTTGAGCCCAGGAGTTCAAGACCAGCCTGGGCAACATAGCAAGACCCCATCTCTAGAAAATAAAATATGAAATAAATAATAATAATAAAAAGAAGCTGCACTAGCTGCTTCAAGGAAGGTCTGTGACTAGGATCCCACAAACCGGAAGTGGCGGATTTTCTGTGTCCGGGTGGGTTCTTGGTGTCTGGGCATCCGGAGCCGTCTGCATCAAAGACTTGGATGGTTGGCATTCAAGGCTAAGGCTGTGCCCTTGGGGGCCTGGAGGGCGGGGCAAGAGGGGATGCAAGGGGACAGTGTTCAGACGCCCATCACTTCTGCCACTTGGTTCCGCAGTTTTTCTCAGCACTTGAGGCAAATTACCCTGAGATCTTGAAGAATTTAATTGTTGTGAGAGGTGAGTAAAGCAGCCCAGGATACGCATGAAATGGGGGGACGGGGGGTGTGGGGTGACTGGGTCGGCACCTGAGACCCCAGTCAGCCACCTGAGAGAACAGTTCTGTGCCTGTTTCAGCCCCCAAGCTATTCGCTGTAACCTTCAACCTGGTCAAGTCTTACATGAGTGAAGAGACACGCAGGAAGGTGGTGATTCTGGGAGGTGAGTGAGCCATCTGGGGCCTCTTTTCCAGCCCGGATCCTGAGCTGAGGGTGGTCCTTCTCACAGATCTGATGGTTCCCGCATCCGAAGGCATCGGGCACCCAACTGGTGTTGAGGGCCCACTGTCTGGTGGGCTGCCAGGTGGGCTGCTGTGCCTGCCCCCCAGAGGGAGGAGGGGCCAGGAAGGGTCTCAGAGATTCCCGGATGTAGCATGGGTGGAGATCCCAATTTGAGGTTAGGAGATCTGGATCTGAGACTTGGCCTTGCCAGTTATTAGCTGCAAGCGGAGTGAGTCACTCACCTGCTCTCTCTTGGTCTTGGTTTCCTCGTGTGTTTAATTTAAGGGAGAATTAGATACGGGTTTTTGGCGGCACACAGTGGCTCAATGCCTGTAATCCCAGCACTTTGGGAGGCCGAGGCAGGAAGATTTCTTGAGCTCAGGAGTTGGAGACTAGCCTGGGAAACATAATGAGACCCTGTCTCTACAATAAATAAATAAATTAGCCAGGCATGGTGGTGCACACCTATAGTCCCAGCTACTCTGGAGGCTGATGTGGGAGGATCACTGGAGTCCAGGAGGTTGAGAGCACGCCTCTGAATTCCAGCCTGAGTGATGGAGTGAGACCCTATCTCAAAAAAAAAAAAAAAAAAAAAAAAAAAGAGGCCGGGCACGGTGGCTGATGCCTGTAGTCCCAGCACTTTTGGAGGCTGAGGCAGGTGGATCACGAGGTCCAGAGTTCAAGACCAGCCTGGACAATATGGTGAAACCCCGTCTCTACTAAAAGTACAAAAATTCACCGGGCCTGGTGGCGGGTGCCTGAAATCCCAGCTACTCGGGAGGCTGAGGCAGGGAACTGCTTGAACCCGGGAGGTGGAGGTTGCAGTGAGCTGAGATCGTGCCACTGCACTCCGGCCTGGGTGACAGAGTGAGACTCCGTCTCAAAAAAAAAGAAATCTAGGTTTTCCAAATTATATAAGTAATACAGTTTAGAAATTTGTAAAGTACAGAAATGTATAAGGAAGGGGGGAACATCCTGTCACCCAGTGAACTACAGTTAGCACTTACTATCCTTTTCAGAGACATATATTTTCAAAAAAGATGGGTTCATACCATACATATACCATTTTGTAACTACTTACATGATAATCATTTTCCCATTTCAGCAAAGTTCTAAATTCAGGTTGTTTGTATTATTTTTATTATTAGAAACAACTCAGTAGTGACGATCCTTATAGACAACCTTTGTATACATCCACAGTTTTTTCCATAGGATAAAATCCTAGAAATGGCAGAATTTTATCCCCCAAAGGAAAATGCACATTAGGACTTTTTTTTTTTTTTTTTTTTTTTTTTTTTTTTTTTTGAGACAGGGTCTCACTCTGCCACCCAGGCTGGAGTGCAGTTGGCATGATCTTGGCTCACTGCAGCCTCAACCTCCAGGGCTCAAGCAATACTCCCACTTCAGCCTCCCAAGTAGCTGGGATTACAGGCATGCCACCACACCTGGCTACATGTTAGGACTTTTGATACCTTTTCCAGTGTAGTGCTCACGCAGATTGCAGAGTTTAACTCCACCAACTGCGTGTGAATGTGCCTGTTTTCCCATACTCTTGCCATGGTTGGACATTAATAATTTGAAATATTCTTGCCATTTTTATAATGTAAAATGATGTTTATTGTTATTTTACATTGGGTTATTAGGTTCTTTTATCACTTGTGAGTCTGGACTTTTTCTTTGTGTTAATTGGCTATTTTAATTTGTTGTTTATTGTCTTCTCGTGTCTTATGACCATTTTCTAGGAAAGTATTTTTTATGCTATTAATTTATAAATACTCTTTGCATATTAAGCACCTTGTCCTTTCCTGCTATGGAGGCTGACAACATGGGAGGATCACTTAAGCCCATATATATATATATATATATATATATATTTGTGTGTATATATATTTGAGATATATACATATATATATGAAATATATATATTTATTTCAGAGATAAGGTCTCTCTGTGTTGCCCAGGCTGGAGTGCAGTGGCATGATCATAGCTCACTCCAGCCTCAACCTCCTGGGCTCTAGAGATCCTCCTGCCTCAGCCTCCTGAGTAGCTGGCACTATAGATGCACAGTACCACACCTGGCAAATTTATTGTTATTTTTTGTAGAGTCATGTCTTACTATGTTACCCAGACTAGTCTCAAACTCTTAGCCTCAAGCAGTCCTCCTGCCTGGGCCTCCTGAAGTGCCGGAATTACAGGCGTGAGCCACCATGTCTGGGCATTCCCTGTCGTATTTGTGGCATTTGGGCCAGTTCATAATTTGCCTATTATCTGATTTTTGACTTAGTGTTATTTATTTATTTATTTATGAGATGGGATTTCTCTCTGTTGCCCAGGCTGGAGTACAGTGGCATGATCTCAGCTCATTGCAACCTCTGCCTCCCAGGCTCAAGCAATTCTCCCTCCTCACCCTCCCAAGTAGCTGGAACCACAGGAGTGCACCACCAGGCCCAGCCTAGTGTTATGTTTTTATGCCAGACTGGGGGGCTTTTCCTTTGTTTTTTCCACCACTTCATGCTTACACAGTCCTTCTCTATCCGAGGGTACTGGGTGTCCACCTCTGCTTTCATCTATTTTGTTCCTGCAATGCCCATGTCCCTTTGTCTGTGGAACATCCTTGGTCATCTCAGAGCAGCTGTGGAGAACTGACACGAGTTTCGCCCTGCAGTTCTGAGGGTGCTGGAGCCCTGGGAGCTGAGGGCAGTATCGGACCAGAAGGCTGAGTTTAGTCTCTAAGGGAAAGTGAAGCCCAGGTCATAGCCTGCCTGACCTCAACCCCAGGCTCCAGGAGTTGCTGGTCCGAGTTTCTATGAATGTGGCCAATGGGCCAATACCTGGACAGAAGTGGGGGCAGGGCCTGCAGGGGCAGTAAGAGAGGGGCAGGCCTGGGGACAGGACCTAGTCAACACGCACATGTTGAGCCCCAGGGCAAGACCTAGGCCCACTCGGCTTCCCCCTTCCAGGACAGGACTGCTCTAGGCAGTAGAGTGGCAAAAGCGCGCCAGGCAGAGAGAGCAACTGGCCGTAGGACAGATCTGGGCTCAGCCCCCTCTTCCCTCTGTTGAGTCTCCTGGAGTCCCTCTCTTGCTCCCACACAGACAACTGGAAGCAGGAGCTGACAAAATTCATCAGCCCCGACCAGCTGCCCATGGAGTTTGGAAGGACCATGACTGACCCCGATGGCAACTCCAAGTGCCTGACCAAGGTACAGGGTGCCCAGAGGATGGGAAAGGAGGGGAGAAGCTGTGATCTAGTGCCCACACACCCCCTTCACCCACAGATCAACTACGGGGGTGAGGTGCCCAAGAGCTACTACTTGTGCAATCAGGTGAGGCTGCAGTATGAGCACACAGTGTCCATGGGCTGTGGCTCCTCCCTGCAGGTGGAGAACGAGATCCTGTTCCCGGGCTGTGTGCTCAGGTAGGGATCACAGCCACTCCACACCTGGGAACAGCTGGGAGGGGCTTGGAGCCCAGGCAGGGGGTCGCCAGTGGGGCTCTGTCCACTGCAGGTGGCAGTTCGCATCGGATGGCGGGGACGTCGGCTTTGGGGTTTTCCTGAAGACCAAGATGGGGGAGCGGCAGAAGGCTAGGGAGATGACGGAGGTGCTGCCCAGCCAGCGCTACAATGCCCACCTGGTGCCCGAGGACGGGAGCATCACCTGCCTCAAGGCCAGCAGCTGTAAGGGTTGGCAGGGATGGCTTCACCTGGAGCTGGTGTGGGTCTGGTGTGGAGGGTGCTACAATGTGCATCCATGTCCTACCAGGTGAGGGCCCTTGGTTCTGGTGGGCACAGTGTGAGGCTGGCTCTGGGCTCTCAGCCGTGGCAATGGTTCCCTGGTCTGGGTACCCATGTTCCCTGTACCACCATGAAAGTCAGAGTCCCAGGTGGGGCATCTTGTCTGAATAGTGTCTGTCCCTCACTGCAGATGTCCTGAGGTTTGACAACACCTACAGCCTGGTTCATTGTAAACGCATCAGCTACACCGTGGAGGTACTGCTCCCAGACCAAACCGTCATGGAGAAGATGGAGAAATTCTAGGTGAACTTCATGGTCCCCACGCCCTCCTCTTTGATCTCTGAATCCACGATGAGTTCACAGCCTTCCCTGGCCAGACCCTGTTCAACCTCTCAGGAACAGGGATTCTACAACAGCGGGTCACAGCCTATGCATCACAGCTGGCCCACTCCTCAGGAATGGCTGGGGCAGTGTCCCAATGGTGGCCCGACGGTCACAGCAAAACAACACAGACACTCCATCCCGACTATGACCTGCTGTGACCTCAAGCTCAGCAAAAACCCCAGGCTTTTTTCTATCAACCAATATCAAGAAATAAATTACTCTTCTAAAATATAGTATTAGGCTGGGCATGGTGGTTCATGCCTATAATCCCAGCACTTTGGGAAGCCAAGGCAAGCAGATCATTTGAGGTCAGGAGTTCGAGACCAGCCTGGCCAACATGGTGAAACCCTCATCTCAACTAAAAATGCAAAGATTAGCCAGGTGTGATGGTGCATGCTTGTAATTCCAGCTACTTGGGAGGCTGAGGCAGGTGAGTCGCCTAAACTTGGGAGGAGGAGGTTGCAGTGACATTGGGCTCTCTTTCCTATTACAATGGTTATTACTGAATAGTTTGTCTTCATTGCCTTTAATTAGTGTTTGGCTTTATCTTTGACACTAGCAAATTGGACAGTGAGGATATAGGATGTATCTATCATTGTGGAAAATTCTGTATAACCTGATGATATCGGCCAGGCGTGGTGGCTCATGTCTATAATCCTAGCACTTTGGGAGGCTGAGGAGGGGGGATTGTTTGAGGCCAGGAGTTTGAGATCAACCTGAGCAATATAGCAAGACTCCTCCTCCCCCCACCAACTCTACAGAAAATGAAAAACAATTAGCCAGGCATGGTGGTGCATGCCGGTAGTCTTGGCTACTCAGGAGGCTGAGATGGGAGGATCACTTGAGCCCGGGAGTTTCAGGCTGCAGTGAGCTATTATTGCACCATTGTACTCCAGCCTGGGCAAGAAAAAACTCAAAAACATTATGACATCATCAAATCTTCCAAAGAGAGAGCCACCTGAGCCAAACTGATCCTTCATCTCCTACGAGATGATTCCTCCAAATAGTCCAACCAATGAGGATATATATATACACACATATATATACACATATGTGTCTATATAGACACACATATATAGAGAGAGCGAGAGAGAGAGAAGCAGAGTCTCACTCTGTCACTCAGGCTGGAGTGCAGTGGCACGATCTTGGCTCACTGCAACCTCTGCCTCCCGGGTTCAAGTGATTCTCCTGCCTCAGTCTCCTGAGTAGCTGGGATTACAGGTGCCTGCCACCACACCTGGCTAATTTTTTTTGTATTTTTAGTAGAGGCAGGGTTTCACCATGTTGGCCAGGCTGGTTTTGAACTCCTGACCTCAAGTGATCCGCCTGCCTCTGCCTCTGCCTCCCAAAGTGCTAGGATTACAGGCATGAGCCACTGCACCCAGCCAAGGCAAAATACTAAAGAAGCCAATCATACCAGTGACTCCTAACAACTGGATAGCATAAACAGCCATGTCAGAGGAGAGAAGGGGCATATCAGGCTGTAAACAAACAAATCCACCCGCATAAAATGTGTGAACTTGACAAGTCTGATTGAGGTAACAAAGTTTAACCATACCTAGTAAATTCAGCCTGATAACCATCAGCTCAGGTTTTAATCACCTTGGGAGAAGTCCCAGGTTTCATGCCCCCTGCAGTGTAGAGTTAATTGGTTAATAACTTGGAGTTGTAACACCAAGAAATGTCTAATGCCAATTTTATTGTTTCAGTTGGGCCTATTCAGATAACAATTCCAACAAAATAGTAAAATGCTAATTTTGAAACTCAAGGAAGATGTCAAAGGGTGCAGCTGTAACCCTACACTGGAACCATGTGACTACACTGTAGGAAGGTATAAAAGCAGAGCAGAAAGAATCAATCCACAGATTAATTGCAGGTGGGATGTTTAGGAACAGGTTTAAATATAAGTAGAGTACTAATTCTGGGGGCCACTGGACTTCTGCATTTGCTGTTTAAGGTGAGGTAGGAGGCGGGACTCCACTCCAGAGGCAGGGCTTGGACACTGGACCAAATTGAGGACAAGCTAAAACAGGGCTGGGGCGGAAGCAGCGTTCCATCAGACATGACCACCAGTGTGCCATGTCAGTTTACCATTGCCATGGCAACACCTGGGAGTGACCGCCCCTTTCCCTGGCAATGACTCCATGACCCGAAGGTTACTACCCCTCCCTAGAAATTTCTGCATAAACCACCCCTTGATCCGCATGTTATGAAAAGTGGATATAAATGTGACTGCAAAACTATCCTGGCCTGCTACTCCCTGCCTACAGGGTAGCCCCTCTGTGCAGGGGCAGTCACGGAGCCGTAACACTGCCTCTTCAATAAAGCTGTTTCTTCTACCTCCAGCTTGCCCTGGAATTCCTTCCTGGGCAAAGTCAAGAACCCTCAAAGGCTAAGCCCCACTTTAGGGCTTGCCTGCCCTGCCTCCAAATTATTTGAAATGCTCAGAACCATCAGCAGTAATGTATTTGTAATTTACAGGTAGACTATAATGTCCGTAGACCAGGCACCAAGGAATACCCAGCCCTTGATACTCCCTGAGTGAGCTTGTTGACAGAGCTCTGGTGTGGAGCAAAGGTGAGGCGCTGACCTCTCCCTGTCCACTGCTTGCTCCTCCTCACACCCACCATGAAACTTTGCAAAAGCCTTCAGACCAGTTTCCCTGCTCTGAATGTCTGCTATTCCCAGGTCATTCTTCAGATCGGGCCCAGGGTCATCTTCCAGGCACAGGTGGAATCACATTTGTCTCTTCCTTTGAAATCTTCCATGGCTCCCCACCACTGAGAAAGGATGGCCCAAAGCCCCCAGCATGGCCTGAAGTTCCTTGGTGACCTCCCCTCGATGTTTTTAAGCATGCTGCCTTCGTCGCGTTTCTCCTCTCTTTTACCTCCGTGAGTTTCTTTGGGTGGTCACCTCTACCCAGAATGTCCTCCCCCCATTTCTACCTTAGAGGCCCAGCCTAAATGCCATCTCCTTTAGGAGACATTCCAGGAGCCCCCAGTGCAGTGCTGTTGTTTAGACCTCTCCTGGAACACATTATCTTCAGGGAGCCAGGATAATGTGGTGGTTAAGGACAAGAGGCCTTTGATGTAGATGGATAAGGGTTCATATCCTGGCTCAGGCTGTTATCAGCCTCAGAAGCTCAGTCTCTGCATCTGTAAAGTAGGGCCATGGGTACCATGATGAGCATGGCAAATGTGGTGAGTTAAGAGGGTGAGTCAAACAGTCACCACAAGCAATGCCTAATGAAAATCACACTCTGAACAAGAGGACTAGGGTTCTGTTTGACCATTTAACCAGGAGGTCTGAGGATGTGAGGCAGCACTAACTAGGCAGTGTGCAGGGGAGATGAGGGACGAGCGTTCAAGTCAGAGGGAACAGCGTGTCCAATGGCTTTGTGGTAGGCGAAAGAACAAGGGGAGATTAAATGACCCCATATACTCCTGACTTGGTGTACTGTGTCTTGGGAAAGGCCAGGGACCTCCCGACTTTTTCTTTTTCTTTTTTGAGATAGCGTTTTGTTCTTGTAGCCCAGGCTGGAGTTCAATGGCGTGGTCTTAGCTCACTACAACCTCTGCCTCCCGGGTTCAAGTGATTCTCCTGCGTCAGCCTCCCAAGTAGCTGGGATTACAGGTGCCCACCACCATGTCCGGCTAATTTTTTGCATTTTTGATAGAGACGGAGTTTCGCCATGTTGGCCAGGCTGGTCTCAAAATCCTGACCTCAGGTGATCCACCCACCTCAGTCTTCCAACGTGCTGGGATTACAGGCGTGAGCCACTATGCCCAGACATTTTTTTGAGACAGGGTCTTGCTCTGTTGCCCAGGCTGGAGTTCAGTGAACCAATCATAGCTCACTGCAGCCTCAAACTCCTGGGCTCAAGTGAGCCTCTCAACTCAAACCCCTAAGTAGCTGGGACTATAGGTGATTTCTACCCTCTTGGCTAATCTTTTTTTTTTTTCTTTTTGAGGAGACGCGGTCTCACTATGTTGCCCAGGCTAGAATCAAACTTCTGGCCTTAAGCAATCCTCCTGCTTTGGCTTCCTAAAGTGCTGGGATTATAGGCATGAGCCACTGCACCCACCTCCTCCTGGCTTTTGTAGGGAAAGAAAGAAGTCCAAGTGTGGCCCTAGGGCCCCTGAACCCTAATCCACCTTTTCCCCTGGTCCCAGGACTTTAGGGCAGCTGATTAGTTCCCATTCCCCATCCCTCTCTCTTCCAGGCCCTAGTGGCCATCTCCCTTCCTTGGGGAAGTAGGGAGGGCATGGCCACACCAGGCCCCTCCTTTCCCTGAGGTCACCCTGGGTTGGTGAGGGGAGCCGAGAAAACTCCTTCTGATTATAGAGCCTCATTTTCACCTGCCAGTCAGGCCCAGTTGAGAGGAGGCTGCCCTGCCCCAGGCACCTGTGTCAGGCAGCTTCCTCTCAGCCCTCTCGCCAGGTCACTCAAGCCAAGTCCTACATCGTTGGAGGAGCATCCAATGGGATCTGTCTGGTCAAGACATCCTCAGGAACAGGCTGATGCAGCTTTGATGTAGGGCAAAGGCCCATCTCACTTCCCACGATGCATGTCATTCACCCCAGGGAGGTCTCTTCAGTTGGCAGGCCACAGGGTTTAATGAGGGCTGTCAGCAGGGGACCTGTGGCCAATGAACAACGCCAGAAATGTTAGGAACACCTGGCAGGTGGGAGTGAGCGGCATCACAGTGCGTGGGCATTAAGATGTGGGATGCAGGTTGCATACCATGACAGCACCATCCTCACAGTCCAGTTTCTCAGCTCACGGGTCAGGAGGGACCGTGGGCATGCGCCACATTTCGGAAGACCGGAAGAGAAGGTCACACCACGGAAGAGAGGCATTGTCTGCCCCCTAAACCACTGGCACCCAGATGGTTAGAACTAAAGTTCTTCGGCCGGGCGCGGTGGCTCACGCCTGTAATCCCAGCACTTTGGGAGGCCGAGACGGGCGGATCACGAGGTCAGGAGATCGAGACCATCCTGGCTAACACGGTGAAACCCCGTCTCTACTAAAAAAAAATACAAAAAACTAGCCGGGCGAGGTGGCGGGCGCCTATAGTCCCAGCTACTCGGGAGGCTGAGGCAGGAGAATGGCGTGAACCCGGGAGGCGGAGCTTGCAGTGAGCTGAGATCCGGCCACCGCACTCCAGCCTGGGTGACAGAGCGAGACTCTGTCTCAGAAAAAAAAAAAAAAAAGAACTAAAGTTCTTCACGCCC